GTCATTTTAATCAAACTTGCCACCAATTCGTAGAGTGGAGACCATAATACTAACCAACTGCAAAAAAAATCCAAAATATAAAAATAAAAAACATATAAAACAGCAAGGCAAAAGTGCATTTTCATGAAATTTTGCCAACATCTCAATTTCAGAAATCTTGAGAAATTTCAGAAATCTTAAACCACCAGTACCTACCGGTTGTCAAGGCCCACGGCTCAGGCTACCGGTAGGCCGGTCATTCCCGAGCCTCGACTTTATTGCCGAGCCTCGGACAACTGGTAGTACACAACAGGAAAAAAGAAAAAAACAAAAGAAAACGAGGACAACAATCTGAAAAAAAAAAAAAAGAACGAAATTAGAGGTTTCCATCGAGAATGAATCTTCCTCGATAAAGAGGAAGATTCATGAGAGAGAGAGAGAGAGAGAGAGAGAGGCGTCAGCCAGTGTCTGACGCCGAGTTTGGTGCAGAGAGAGAGAGAGAGAGGGCGTCAGCCAGTGTCTGACGCCCTCTCTCTCTCTCTCTGTTGAAATGAGAATGAACCTTCCGCGTCATCGCGGAAGGTTCACTCTCATTTCAACTGAGAGAGAGAGAGAGAGAGAGTCTCTCTCTCTCTCTCTCTCTCTCTCTCTCTCTTCCCCCCCTTCCCCCGTTGATGCCGCGCCCGTCTGTTTTATTTTGTTGTCTGTTTGTTTGTTTGTTTGTTTGTTTGTTTTGGTGCCCGTTTTTTGTGGGCTACCGGTCGCACCTTGGTGGGTACCCCGCCCGACGCGGCGTGTTAACGGCCGCGTGGAATTTATCAAGCAGGGCGAGGTACTGGTGGTTTAACAGAGGAAATTCCAATTCTCCAAATGACACAAAATTTGGCACACACCAACCTTGAACCAGAACAAGAACAGGCAAAAAAAAAAAAAAAATCGAAAAACATAAAATGTGACCCCGATGAAACAGTATTCACCAGTTCGCAGTAGCTGATGCAGATCCTAGGGCTCGATCCCTAGTTCCCACCTTACCTGTGTACAGTACCTGTGTCGACCCTAGAGTTGAACCCACGACCTGTGTATTTGTAGCAGTTGATAGGTTGTCGTAGGGTCCATAGGTAGCATGGGTTCGATCTGTAGACCTGTCGGATAGGAGTCCCAGTCAGGTCTAGAGGTCGTGGCTGTAGCCTTCTCGAAGAGTCAGGGGCGTAGCTGCTACAGTCCAGAAGGGTCAAAGTCGTAGCTGCTACAGAACCGAAAGGCCAAGTCCATGGCCTTCCGGAACGTCTGAGTAGTGGCCTTTCAGACTGTCCCACGCTTAGGCTAAGGCAAGTGGGCAAGTGGCGAGGCAAGTGGTGGAGTCTGCCCGTGCTCAGTCAGCAGTCCCAGTCCTAGGCAGTCCGGTCCAGTCAAGCAAGTACCGCATGGGACTGTGTGCACTTCAGGCCTGGGAAAGGGGCCAGACCAACGCACTGCAGAAGTATAAATCAAGAGGCAACGCCCAGCCATTCATTCATTCCTGCGTGAGCCATGCGGAAGCGCTGCCACAGCGACTTGTGCGAGGTGGTCTGCAGTGAAGCCCGAAGACGAAATGGGCAGAGAGACGAAGCTTAGGCATAGCGATAGGGTAGCGGCGGCCATAGCCGCCATAGCTATAGTTAGTGTTCAGTGTGTGTGTGTGGGTGTGAGTGTTTAGAGAGACGCGTGTGGGATATCCAGGGTGATCCATTGTATGCGAACAGAGAGTTGTATGGCGCTGTGTCGCCATAACCATTGGAAGTGAACTCGTATCTGGGTTGCCATATCTTTGAGTATTGAGTGGGCGCATGTTGCCAGTTTGCCGCGCTTTTGTTTGCGTGCATGTAAAGTGTGAATGAAAGCAAGTCTGATTGCATTGGTATCGGAGCTGGTACCCGCTATTCCACGCACAGCGTTGTGTGTAGCAGGGAGAGTGATGCGCCATAGCTGAGGTGGCCGCCGAGAGAAGAAGTCCGCCATAACGGACCTGGAGGTTGAAGAAGCTGCCGCGCACACCTGCAAAGAAGACCACGACGAAGAAGACAACCGAGAGAGAGAAAGAGAGGGAGAGAGAAACGTTGAGCGATATAAGATTGGCTTACCACGTTTCTGCGTTGAAGACATCGCTACGGCGAGAGAGAGGGAGAGAGAGAGAGAGAGAGAGAGAGAGAGAGAGAGAGAGATGAGCGATACAAGTTTGGTTGTCACTTACCTGTGAAGTGTGCCGTGCAGTTCCACAAAGTGAGAGGCGGCCATAGCCGCGGAGCTCGACGATAGAGGACGAAGGAGGTTGAAAGAGAAGGTGGAGGAGGAGACTGAGGGAGGTGAAAGAAGCCATAGCCGAGGAGGGGGAGAGAGAGAGACGAWMAAAAAAAAAAAAAAAAAAAAAAAGAGAAAGAAGACAGCCGGGGTGAAGAGAAAGGTGGCGAGGAAGGAGAAAGGAAGGAGAAGGATGGTGAGGAAGGAGAAGCCGGCAGCCACAACTGAGCGGAGGCGTTGACCGGGCGTTGACCGGGTGTGACCGGGAGTTGACCGGCGTTGATCGGAGTTGACCGAGGGTTGGTCGGGGTTGACTGCAGCATTGATCGAGCGTTGATCAAGGCGTTGACCAAGACCGTTGACCACGATTTTGACCAAGTTGGAGCCAGTATAATCTCGCCAAGCCTTCAGCCTACCCCTTGCCCTATGGATGTGCACACACCTTGTGGTACTTGCTGAGTCAAGTCTGTCTATCTCTCCTTTCTGCATTGAGTCTCTTCTGTCCAGGTGTAGGAACTATGTGGATGAAGGATAGGGCCTTGTTGACGAAACCCCTGCCGGACTAAGTAGGGCTAAAGACTGTGTCTGACGACTCGACTGTCCCGGAGGACACGAACCCTCCCAAGGAGCGGTGCAGACCGGCGGGCTGCTCGGTGTGGCACAGTAGGCCCGAAAAGCTGAGCTGCGGGCTGCACAACAGGCCGTCTAAGTGTTGAGAGACCTGCTGATCGCGTCGTCCTGTCTGTTACGTTAAAGAATTCGTGAGGAGTTACGGGGGATCTCCTTAAATGCCTCTCGATCAGCAACAGGTCTAGTAGTGACAACCTTAGAGTAGGTCTAGGCTAGTGACCATAGTTGATAGGATCCTGTCCGGATTTTGTAAGTTTTAGATCGAGTCAGTAGGTGAGTCAGTCAGGGGGAGTAGAGTCTAAGTGGTTAAAAGTGGAACTGATTGTCTGGTTGTGCGCCAATCACCATTGTTGACACCCGTACAGGGAAGAGTACTGCCCCCTCCGAGGCCGAGCAGGCCCGGATTGCCGCCCTTCTGAGAGAAAAGAGAGAAAAGAGGGAGCTCTTGAAGCAGGCAAAGCTAAAGGCCATTGAGGAGGAAGAGGCGGCGAAGAAGAAAAGATTGGAGGAGGAGATGATGAGATTTCAAAAGGAGAAGTTAATGTTGATAGAGAGAGAGAAGGAAGAAAGGAGGAAGGCTGCAGAGGAAGAAGTAGCAAGAGAGGAGGAAGAAGAAAAAGAAGAACCCCTTGAGAGAAGACGCAGAGAGGAGAGAGGGGAAGTGAGTGGCACGAAGGAGGATGATAGATGGAGGGAGAAGAAGATAAGCGAATGGGTGGCTGATCTGTCTTTGGGAGAAGATGAAGAGGCACAACTGTATGTGCCGCAGAAGGAGAGGGAGGCATTTGCCAGGGCACTGGAGATGATAGAAGACCCTGTGGAACGCCAGGAAACAGAAGATGAAAAGAAGTTGGAATGGAAGCTGAAAATGATGAGGGAGAAGAAGAGGAGTAGTGAGGAAGCCCGTAGAATAGCTGGGGAGGTTGAGCGTGTACGAACCGGCAGGCAAGAATTGCAGGCCCAAACAGAGGTCTCTGCCAAATTGGATAAGGTGATGGGCTTTCTAGAAATTCTGAGCGAGGCCTGGCTAGAAGAGCACCAGGCCCGTAAGGGCCAAGACGTGACTTTGCAAGCGATGCGATCTGGGTTTAGGGAGTTTGCGAGTGACGTGGTGGGCCACGTCGGGGCTGAGTTTAGAAGACTGAGAGATGGCGTAGACAAGTTCTGCGTTGGCGCCATCGAGACCGCCAAAGTTGTGGCCTCAACAGAGGCTAGGGCTCGACCCCGCAAAAAGCCAGTCAAGTTGAAGTTCCCTGACCCATATAGCGGGAAAAAGGAGGAGAATTTCGATAACCGGGAGGCCAGTACAAACACGTATGTCTTTTTACAGCATATTGAGTCCTCGTTGCCTTCCACGCGTTGAAAGACGAAGCAGCCAGGTTCGCCAGGTCTCTCACATGTGCCGCAGACTGCGAGCACAATATGATCGCGTACTCTAGACTTACCCCCCTCACTACTTTCCTCAAACTCCTGCGCGAGAGGTTTGCTGACGTCACTAGAGGCGTCAGGGCCTCTGATAAACTTCAAACCATCCATTCGCGACAGTGGAGGAGTGCGAGAGCACTCAAAGATGTTATGGACGACTTTGTAGCCGTCCCGGTCACTGAGACCCAATTGGTTCAGTTGTTTTATCGTGCCATGCCAGAGCCCTTACGAGGGCACTTTTTTGACAAGACCCAACAACCCAACATTACATACGATGTATTGAGTAGGGAGGTGGTCTTGTTTGAGTCCAAGTCCATGCCATTTTCCACTTTCTGGCATAAGGATTTAGACAAGGGAAAAAAGTGGAAGGGGCGTACCATCTCAGGTCAGGTTAGGGCCAAGGATCACATGATCCTCACATTGGAGGAAGGTGGTACTGACGAGGTCCTGTATAGTCAGATTGAGTGGGGCCTCGAGGAGGAGGACAGTAGTGTGGGGCAGGGGAGGTCTTATGCTACTGTCACGGCTGGAGGGAGGCCGCAAGGGAGAGGAGGAGGCCAGGGCCAAAGGGGCCAGGCCATGGGAGGCCGAAGATCAGGCGCACAAGGGGTTGGCGGTCAAGGGAACCGTCAAGCGGGAGGTAGGGGTCAAGGTCCCCCGTCGAACCTGGACCAGACAACGTGGCAGCAGCGGATGGAGCAGGGGCGTGCATTTATTGCGGTGACCCTGCCCATATCATAAAATATTGCCCCAAGTATAGATAGGCCCGATGGGCTGCCCACGAGTCAAAAGGCAGCCGCGGGTAGGGGTCGCAACTGCCCTTACTACGAGGCCATGTGGGGAATCGAGCGCGCTCCCACAGCAGATGTGCCTTCGACATAGGTTGCAGGCCCGTGCCTAGTTAGCTGTCCAGAGACTGCTTGTGTCAGCGTCTCTCTAGGCACGACCCTCACATGCGTGGCATAAGAATTGAAGGGGAGGATGCCTGCCTGGGCCAAAATGAAGAAAGATAGTAAAGGGCAGCTAGTATTAGTTGATGTAGAAGTGTTCAGGAGTAGAGTAGGGGCCCTTATAGATTCAGGGGCCACCCGCAGATACATTAGCCGTAGGGCGCTGAAAAAGTTGAGGTTAGGATTGAAAGTCCAGAAATTGGAAGACCCCATATTTAGTGTCCTCGCAGACAACCACACGATGCGAGTTGAGGACTACGTAGAGGGAGTCCAGGCGTACCTCCGCCTAGAGAAAGATGGGAAGGTGGAGAAAGTTCTCCATTCCCTGACTCTCCTCGTTCAGGATGACCTTCCTTTTGACATAGTCCTAGGCATGGACTGGGGAGAGGCAGCAGGGGCCACACTCCACTTAAGAGAGCATGAGTGTAGGCTCCCTAGTTCTTCAGGCGAGGTTAAGACATCCCGCCTGTTCCATGTGTCAGGAGTAGACAACTCGCTGGCACATTGTTGTCTTAGTGTTCCCGCGTTCGCGCGATTAGTGAAAAAGGAGCAGCTAGAGGATGAGGTCTTCGTAGTGTATGTCAGACCTGTTACCGAGCCTAAGGAAGAGGTTAGTTCCACGGATGCAGCCATTGCCAAGCTGCTGGAAGAGTTTAAAGACTTATCTGTGCTGCCGACAGGAGTAGTGTCGCGGCCGTTCCAGCACAGGATAGAGATAGAGCCTGGCAGCGAAGTCCTAAGGGAGCAATCTACAGGATGTCCCCTAGAGAGTTAGAGGAGTTGCGCAAGCAGTTGGACGAGCTCCTCGAGAAGGGTTGGATTAGGCCCAGTTTGTTTCCTTTTGGAGCACCTGTTTTGTTTGTCCCCAAGAAGGAAGGAGAGTTGCACATGTGTAAAGATTATAGGGGTCTGAATGCGATTACAGTCAAGAATGTTGAACCACTGCCCAGGATAGACGATCTCTTAGATCGGGTGCAGGGTTGCAAGTATTTCTCAAAGATAGATTTGAAGTCCGGTTATCATCAGATAGAGGTCCATCCTGATGACCAGTACAAGACTACATTCCGGACTAGATACGGGCATTACGAGTTCATAGTGATGCCATTTGGACTGACCAACACGCCAGCTACATTTCAGCGTTGTATGAATGATCTGTTTAGGCCTTGGTTGGACAGGTTCGTCGTAGTTTACTTAGACGACATCCTAGTATTCAGTAGGACCCTCCAGAAGCACCAGGGTCATTTGAGGCAGGTCTTGGAGAAGCTAAGAGAAGCTAACTTCAAGATCAATGCAAAGAAGTGCGAGTGGGCCAAGACACAAGTCCTGTACTTGGGCCACGTATTAGATGAAGATGGCATCAAGCCAGAGGACAGCAAGATCGTGGCAATTAGAGACTGGCCGACGCCCCGCACATTGACAGAGTTGCGGTCGTTTCTGGGCTTAGCTAATTACTATAGGAAGTTCGTGAGGAACTTCTCTACTATCGCCGCCCCCTTGCGCAGGGTGCTCAAGAAAGAGACAATCTGGCAGTGGGATAAAGACTGTACGTATGCGCTAAAGAAGCTAAAGCGCGCTTTAATAGAGTACCCTGTTCTCAAGGTAGCAGATCCGTCCTTGCCATTTGTCGCCACCACGGACGCGAGTCGGTATGGAATAGGCGCCGTGTTGCAGCAGGACGACGGCAATGGCTACAAACCCGTAGAGTTCATGTCAGCCAAGATGCCCTCATAGAAGGTTGCTACCTCGACGTATAAGAGAGAACTCTACGCTCTCAGGCAGGCCCTAGAGCACTGGAAGCATTGCCTGCTTGGGAGGCACTTCAAGGTGTACTCCGACCATGAGACTCTTAGATGGTTGAAGACACAGGCCAATATGACACCTAAGTTGACTAGGTGGGCCGCTGAGATAGACCAGTATGACTTTGAGCTCAAGCCAGTGAAGGGCAAGTACAATGTAGTTGCGGATGCTCCGAGTAGGAGATCAGACTACTTTGGAGCTATGGTTCACTAGCAATAAGAAATTAATCAATTTCTTATTGTTACTATTTATTTGTCATCGATTATATATTTTGATTGTAATTATATTTAACGAAATATTATATTTGTTTTAATAGTATACAATATTATATGCATATTTCAATATTAGAATATTATATATAGTGACCTGCAAGAGAAAGTTAGACAGGCGTATGCACAGGACCCTATCTATAGTGACCTCCTCAAGAGAGTCAAGGAGGCCCCAGAGACTGAGCCAGATTACCGCACTACAAAGGGGTTATTGTTTGAGAAGACTAACGTAGTAGACCGCCTATGCATCCCCAACAGTGAGGAGATCCGCAGTCTGATCCTAGGGGAATGCCATGATACAGAGGGACACTTCGGTTGGCAAAAGACTTTAGCCAATCTGATGCACGCGTACACATGGCCAGGAATGAAGAACGACTGCATAGAATATGTCCGCAGTTGTGAAGTCTGTCAGAGGAACAAGACCACCACGCGTGCCCCTCTAGGTCTTGTCAGACCCTTGCCTATTCCAGACCAGCCTGGGGATTCGATCTCCATTGACTTCATGGATGCCGGTGTCAAAAGTAGGCACGACAAGAGCCAAATCATGGTTGTAGTCGATAGATTTAGCAAGTATGCTATTTTTGTTCCTTTGCCTGCAGAGGCACGTACAGAGTTAGTAATATAGAAGTTTTTTTATTTTTGGGTTTGTGAGCATGGAGTCCCGTTGTCCATAGTTAGCGATAGAGATAGTCGCTTCACCAGCCAGAACTGGCAGGAACTCATGAAAGTTCATGGGTCGAAGTTGTCGATGTCGTCTGGCCGCCATCCAAAGACTAACGGTCAGACAGAGCAGATGAACAAGGTCCTGCAGCAAGTTCTGTGCATGGACATTAGACCCGATCAGATCAACTGGGACGAGATGTTACCCAAGGTAGCCAGTGCATACAATAATAGCGTGCATTTGTCCACTTGTCGCACTCCCAATGAGCTGCACAAGTCCTTTAGACCACGTAGACCGCGACCCTAGAGTTGAACCCACGACCTGTGTATTTGTAACAGTTGATAGGTTGTTGTAGGGTCCATATGTAGCATGGGTTCGATCTGTAGACCTGTCGGATAGGAGTCCCAGTCAGGTCTAGAGGTCGTAGCTGTAGCCTTCTCGAAGAATCAGGGTCGTAGCTGCTACAGAACCGAAAGGCCAAGTCCACGGCCTTCCGGAAGGTCTGAGCAGTGGCCTTTCGGACTCGCTTAGGCTAAGGCAAGTGGGCAAGTGGCGAGGCAAGTGGTGGAGTCTGCCCGTGCTGAGTCAGCAGTCCCAGTCCTAGGCAGTCCGGTCCAGTCAAGCAAGTACCGCATGGGAGTGTGTGCTCTTCGGGCCTGGGAAAGGGGCCAGACCAACGCACTGCAGAAGTATAAATCAAGAGGCAGCGCCCAGCATTCATTCATTCCTGCGTGAGCCATGCGGAAATGCTGCCACAGCGACTTGTGCGAGGTGGTCTGCAGTGAAGCCCGAAGACGAAGTGGGCAGAGAGTCGAAGCTTAGGCATAGCGATAGGGTAGCGGCGGCCATAGCCGCCATAGCTATAGTTAGTGTTCAGTGTGTGTTTGTGTGTGTGAGTGTTCAGAGAGACGCGTGTGGGATATCCAGGGTGATCCATTGTATGCGAACAGAGAGTTGTATGGCGCTGTGTCGCCATAACCATTGGAAGTGAACTCGTATCTGGGTTGCCATTACTGAGTGGGCGCATGTCGCCAGTTTGCTGCGCTATTGTTTGCATGCATGTAAAGTGTGAATGAAAGCGAGTCTGATTGCACCGAAACCCTAATTTCAGTTTTGGACTCGTTACCAGGGCCTGAAAATGGGGGTCCCCGTTAACCATTTGTGGCGGCTCTACCCCTAACCTAGCTACGGAGTCACTCGCGAGCGCCCTCTTCTTCTTCGGGCGCGCAGTGCCCGCACAGGCAGCAGCAGCGCTTCCGCATCTCCCAACTTAACAAGTGGTGAGCTGCTGCTGCAGTCTAGCAGCTAAATATAGAACTCGGCTTGGCTTGGCTTGGCTTGACCTGCTTCAGAGCGGTACCGGTCGGCCGCAGCCTGTCTGCTGCAAACATTTTGTCGGTGCGGTAGCTTCCGGACTTTCCTGGGACATGCTGCAAAATTGGACTTGGGACTGGCGGACTGGACTGGACGTTTCTGGACTTTTCTTGTCGGGTACCTGATGGACTTCTAGCGACCTACGACGCTTCGGTATGACGTTTCGGCCTCTATACCCAACAGTCTACCCTACCAGGACAGCCTGGGACTGGGACACTTCGGGACTCTGGGACCAGGACTGGTATGTCTGCAGCGTGAATCCTTTCAATTGTCATATGTTTCGTCTTTTGTGCATGTGGAGAGTAGAGGAGCAATGCCCATATTCCTTTTCAGCAGACTGATGACCTCCCTCCACTTAGAATGAATCCTCCACAAGAACATGGAAAGATACACCGCCATACTTTTTCTCTTTTCTGCATGTGGAGAGCCATGGAGCGAGCCTCTGAATCCTCTGCTACAGACCTGAGTGAAGCACATGAAGCAGATGAGTAAAATACGGCAATTCTGAATTACTTGGGGCAGGTCATTTCAAATGATGACATCTCAAGGCGTCTGAAAAAAAATCCTGTCCTCTGGGACATCTGTTAAAATTGGAACGATGCAAAAAAAAAAAAGAACAAAAAAAGTTGCCATGTATCTCGGCCCTCGCTCCACTACAAGTGCCAAAAGTTTGGCGATGTACCTTTCCTTGCTCTACCGCAACATTCATTCTCATTGCCCTGCCGCGGACGCGGCGTGGGTTCCGCTTGTTGTTATTATTTGTTGAAGAATAAGATTGGTGGAGATAAGGAGGAGAGTGGAGAGAGAAGGGGGGATTGGTCATTGGTCTTGCTGGTGTACATCTTCTTCTTCTTCTTTCTTCTTCTTTGGTCTCCATCTCCTTGCAAGTCCTTTCATTTCGTTTGCAATTGGGTGACATTGTCTTTCTTTGTGATTTGCACTTCAGACTTGGCCAGGATCCTAACAAGGCAGTCTGGTTGAAATATTGATGTGAACAGTGTTGTTTGTGGGAAGCCTTATGCACTCACTCTAGTCAATTGATTTTGTTATGTGTGGACACTGTTCTTTGTTTCCTACAGCGCATCCCAAAGGCATATATGTCTCTCTTGCCTCAGGGAAGTGGGGACGTGACATTCCTTGGGCCTAATCGATATCAGTGCAGACTTGGATGGCTGTGGAGCCCAGACAAGCGTTGTGGGTTTAGCGCTGGATGGAGGCACTTTGTCCGTGATCACAACTTGCAAGATGGGGATTGGATCGTGTTAGAGTTTCTCAAAGAAACTCTTGTAAGAGTGAATATCTTTCCCATTGTCTGCTCCTCAGAACCATGTGTCGAAGGTGTGCCAGTCATGGACACGGGGCCAGCAGTCCCAAGAGGGTACAGGAGTAGGGAAACCGGAGACCTTTCCTTGATTGTACGAGGTGATCACGACGCAGCGGCAGAGGCAGTAGTGGCAAATGAATGCAAGGAGTTGGAGCCTTGGGGTGGTCGTGATGCATGCACTGGATGGCATAGTAACAACGCATTGGAAGCTGGTCCAGGATCGTCGGCACCTGGACAGTGTGGAGAAACGAATGAAGAAGGGAATGGGAAAGGAAGGGGGAAGAAACGTAAGAGGCATCACAAGTTGAGGATGTTCAGGTCAAAAATTGGCAGCAAGATGAAGAAAAGTGGCATGGCGGAGGATCTTGATGATTGCCTCCGTAATCAGTATTACAATGGTGGTGGAACCATTAGGAATGGTGGGAGGGACCGTAACAGAGGTGAAGATGGTGGAGAGGACTTCTCTCCAAACACCCAACAGCAACGGTATGATGACGAGGAAGGGGGGAATCCCTGCTGTGAAGACGAGGCGGACGAGGAGCTGTCCCCAGGACGAGTCAACCTGGACAATGGAAGGTCGAGTCGAGGCAAATATTCTAATTTGACTATTCACAGGTCTCAGAATGAGCTGGTTCTGCGAATAGTTGGCACCAATTGCTTAACACCTCAAAGCTCAGATCAGGCTGCAAATGACTGCATCGATCGAGCCCAAACTGGGAAGAGGAAGCCACAGGCTTGCATATCTAAGGGGCCACAGACGGAAGAGAGGATGGTAGATCATGAAAGAGCTTTCGAAAGGGCGTGGAGAGGGAGAGTCAGGGGTTTGCAGGAGAAGGGAAGACCGTTCGCTGAAGAGCAAGAGAGAAGTGTGGTTGATCAGGTTCTGGTGCAAGCTCAGCTCGTTGAGAATGAGTGGGTGTGGGACTCGAAGGAAAATGGGCTTAGTTTGTGCCCCACAAGAGTGAAGACAGAGGAGGGGGAGGATGGAGGACGACGACGTAGGACTGTTCCAGCTGGTTTTCGGGATATTGCATCTGCACATTTCAATCCTTCCGCCGCAAATGGCAGTAACATAGTCACGGTAACAGGGAGAGCGGCATGGGAGGGTGGTCAGAACAAGAATGGCAAGAAGGACAAAAAGAGGAAGCGGAAGTGGCGATTCTCAAGTCTGAAGACAAAGAGGCGGAGAAGCATATTGGAGAAAATGGCCAAGGGTGCCAATGCAGCAAGTTCTGGCGATGGAGGACCACCATTAGGTGGCCGATGTGCTGAGGTACCTGAAACTGCTAGCGAGTATGCTTCTGCAAGTGGCGAGAACACAAGAGGGGGAAAGATTGGGGGCCAGAAGGCAGAGGGAAAAAGGCAGGAAAAGAGGAGGAGGAGAGGCGTGGAGGAGCGCTTGCCTACTGCTGCGATGTCTGCAGACGAGCACACTGACATGGGAACAGGCATACCCTCACCTGCTATGGTAGTGAAAGAGGAAAGGCATGAGGGGACGCTTTGCAGAAGAAGGCAAGCAACTGTGGCCGGTTCAGAGTGGAATGTCCGCCCGTCAAACGTCGAAAGAAGAGCAAGAAGGGACCCAGAGGAAAGGGATGGGAGATCCAGGGACCTAAGGAAGCAAGGCTATGCTGAGGTAAGAGGTGGCGAGCAAGGAGCGAGGGAACAGAGGAAGCAAAACTATTGCGAGGAGAACAGCAGGGTTGGGAAAAGCGAAGGGAGGCGGCCATCCATGGGAGCGGCAGTTGAGACCTGGGCCCATGCCGATTATCAGGACGGTCGGATCGGGGATGGTCAAGGAGAGAACGAGGACGGTGAATACTTCAGCGTGGACCGCATGCTAAATGTGAACTGGGGAGCTGGGAAGGTTCTTGTAACCCTCACTGGACTGTATGTCACAGGAGAGGGCAGTAGGTACCAATCAGGGGGTATCTGGGTCCCAAAGGAGTGGCTTGCGACTGACTTTTCCAGGGTATTTGTTCCTCACAACTGGCACCTGAAGTCGCATGCAACTGCAATAAGGGGGTGGTGAATCCTCTCTCTTGCGCTCTCTTTTCCCCCCTCTTCTCTTGTTTCCTTCCCTGACATGTGACACGTGCTAGGGTGAAATCCTACAAGAAGTGGTGACGTTCCTTCTCTATGTCGTGTACATGTACGAGGAGAGGACTCCTGCACTGGCAGTACAGGAAGGAGGACTTCTTGCTGTTGTCTGTTGCGATCTTTGGTGACCTTTCAGCATAGGACTGTGACCCTTGGCTCATTATTATATGCTTAGTTGCTTTCTGTCTGGTATCCGGAGGGGATTCGATGCTAGGTTGCTTTTCGTTTCTGCTCATGCTGTTTATGGACAGTTTATCTTTTGCTCATGCACGAGTGCCTTTTTCTGTGAGCCTTAGTGTGTGGTCAGGTAGGTCACTTGTGTGCGTGTGTGTGGCATGTGTCCACATGTGGCCTTGTTTGTCATCTCCGCATGAGTGTCTTTCGTTTCTTGTTCGTCACCTGCGATGGTTGCAAATCAAACATAAGAGGCTGTGTCGAACATGAGAATCTCTGAATCACAGTCTGCTTTGTGCAAGGGGGGAACCCAAGGAAGTAATTCACTGTTATTGTGATAATCATCGGCCCACACTCTGCCTGCCTTTTGGCATTCAACTGAAGGTTTGCCATCTGTGATATGCATGGTCCTTTTGGCAGCTGGAGGGCCACCAAGTTTTCTGTTCTTCATTATTTATTTCACAATGTGCATTATGTTCTTCAATCGCCATTCGCAGTTTGCCGATGAGTGTTGTCTGCGGTTCTTCACTTCAGAAGGGACTGTGGTGCGTGGTCGTCGTGTATAACACATTGCTCAAAGAGTGCACGAGGTGGATGATAGATCCGAATCATTCTTTTGGAAGAATGAAGAAGAGCGAAGCGGTCAGGTTTCTGTTTCTTTCACCTTCTTTGCTTTGCTTTGCTGGGCAGATCAGGAAATGGATGAAGTACAAAATTCTCACTTTGAATTGTTGTCCGTTTCTCGATCCTTGTTGCATGCCAAGGTTCTATCCTACCCTACTAGGCTCGAGCCCTGATCAACTGGATTCGAACAACACCAGTACATCCCCAACCCAGGCTTGAGCCCTGATCAACTGAATTCGAACAACACCAGTACATCCCCAACCCAGGCTTGAGCCCTGATCAACTGGATTCGAACAACACCAGTACATCCCCAAGCCTCAGTTTGCCAAGGCAGGTCCCCCCTGCATGCCAAGCTTTGCCAAAACACCAGCGCGGGGCTTTTTCTTTTCTTTCCTTTTCTTTTGGCTGACACCACCACCCATTGCGGTCCGGTTCGCCGAAGCCTCTGAAAAGTTCAGTAGCCGATTTCAATTCTCCAGTTTACCTGGGCCATGTGCCGGTGGTTTAAGAACCTCGACACATCGCTGATGGGTGATCAAGTAGTAGGCACGGGGTAGAATTCTCAGTAGACTGTGGCAACAGTGGAGTGAGGCACGGAGAGAACCACAGGTGATCATCAGGAATTATAGGGAAACAGTGGCTATCACGGAGTGTGTTACTGTTGATTGTATATGGACAAATCATAGGAAAAGGAGAATGGACATGAAGAAGAGAAGACGAAGAAGAAGACTAGTGAACTGTGTAGGCGAATGCTAGTAGTTGTCAGCGACTCATAGTTGCCGGATCTTGGGAAGCACAGTTGTTCCCCAACCCATCTCAGCTGGTAGCACAGTGTCTTCACCCAAAGCCTGAATTGCCCACTCTTGCGTAGTCAAGTGGGACGTTGCAGATTTCTGCAACGAGGTGGACACGACTTATTTCATACATCAAGCAGGCATGAAAGTCGCCTGCAATGGCGAACTAATTCCCTGGGGACCATAGCCTGTTGCGAAAGGAGATCACTGGCTGGATGTAGCCAGTCCTGTGACCTTGCCCCCCATAGTTATACGGTACAGATGTTCCAGCACACCATAGTTGCCATGTATTACAGAGCACACTTGTTCCCCAGCCTGTCTCGGTTAGGAGCGCAGAAGCCTGTTCAAGGGGCAGTCCCATGACTCCTCTCACCTAAAAACTCACTGCTCGCACCTTGCACCAAGCACAAAGGCCAATTCTGGCCTTGCCCTGACATAGTTATATGGTACAGATGTTTCTTGACCACTGGTGAGGGGCCATGCAAACGATCTGTACTTCAGAATGATCGTTTGCATGGCCCCTCGCCAGTATGTTTCCCAGCCATTTTGCAGAGATGCACCGCGCCTGCTGGTGCGTCAGGTGGGATGCACGGAGGTGCCATTTCGCCCGTCCAGGCAAAAGGGGTTGCATGCGAGGTCCAATTCGCCTTGATGGACGAAACGATACTCCGGTGCACCCCGCCTGACGCGCCAGCGTGCACGGCTGCAGAATGGCTGGGAAATGCACTGGTCGTTTAATGTGGATGTACGCCTATATGTGTGTGTGTTGTCTTCCAGTGACCACTGCTGTCATCCGAGTTACAGTTTTTCCTTGCTTTCATGTACCACGTGCTCCTGCCAGTCGTCTTCAAACTTGCACGAGTTCACCACACATCGCAATCTGTCCGTAAGGCCCCACTTGCCCAGAGAATAGTCTATGGACTTTATGCAAGCTGCCATGTATGCTCATCAGATTCCTTGACTGGATACCTGGACACCATCATGCCGGCCTAGGGGGATATAGAAATTCAATGCACGTCCTCAGATCACCCTTCAGTTACAAACCATCACTCAGTCAATCCAGGTCCGGCGTCAGACCCCGATGAGTTGAAACTTGTTAGTGTTGCACTGGGAATCAAAGTAGGAATAAGGCAAAGTAATTTAAGTAAGAGCATTAATGTACAACTCAGTTTTGGATCCTGACATGCCTAATTGTTTCAAACTTTCTATCCATATACCTAAATCATGATGAGGAAAACAGCATCCCATTTGAACTGGGGGGCGCTCCCCCAATGGGGACCCTGCCGGTTGGACCACAGGTGGTTGAACGGCCTGGCAGGCTCCCCGGTCGGACTCAGCGCATCATGCTTGTTTGTGGGGGGGGGGGGGGGGGGGGGGGGGGGGGGGGGGGGGGGGGGGGTACTGCGGAGTCCCGGGTATGCCGGCAATTGCCCAGGCCCCGGGAGTCTGCTCCCACCTTGAAATAAGAAAATTGGGGGCTTTTGTAACCCACTTCTTCGAAAGGACAGCAGGAGGATCTCCGGCGCTGATCTTTACGGATCAGCGGTGGAGTACTGCTGCGCCCTTTTTTCAGGGTGTGGGCCCCGTTTTCAATTTGGCATCATGTGGTCGAAGAACCACAGACCAGATGCAATTGGCAGGTCCTGACGCTCATGCACCCTGAGCCGGGAGGAAAACCATATGCTGATGCAGTGGCTTTGCTAAGATTATATGCTTCTGCGACGTCCCTACGCTCTGGGGTAAAAGTTATCGGTTTGGGTTTTGGCTTGTGAAGCCAGAGTAACAATGCTGTCCGAGGTGCAAGCCCAAGAATGGACCTCGCTCTACTGCATGCATCTGGAAGGACTGCGAGGCAAGATACTTCGCCGTCTTGTGATCCGCCGCATGTAGAAGAAGGTAAACAGAAAATGCTCTGTCTGAACGAGCTGAAACCTGAACCCATGATTTTTTTGCTGTCGATCTAATATACTCTGGAAGAGCTAAAAGTTTTGGCAAGGACCTTCTCTTAATATATTTCGTTCAGCCTCTTAGGTGTCTATATCTGATGCCATAGTCCACAATACCATATGGTGCCGAATTGAAAGTTGTGGGCCACGGAGGGTTGAACCCCCCATCTGACAGCCGTACCCTGAAAAAAATATCGCACCTTCGAAAGTTTATTGCGTGCGGGGTTCGACAGATCTCGACGAGTGCAGCTCCAATCCGCTGGGGGAAAAAAAGGAGAAAAGAACTGGTCTTTTTTTTAAAAACCGGTTTCCTGGTCACCCCCCCTGGTCCGGTCCGGCACCAGTTGGACCAGCTGAGCTGAACCGGCCAGTTGCCGGTCCAGCCTTGGCATACCGTACATTACAACCCAGTTGCCGACCCTCACATGCCTAAAAATAGGTTTCAAACTTTCTCTGTGCTGTAACGAAGAAAATAGCATAACCTACGTTAGATCTAATAACCAGCCCTTTGTTGCCAGCCATCTGGGTGCCAGCGATCTGGGTGTCAGCGATCTGGGTGCCAGGGTTGCTGTAGACTGACAAGCAAGGGCATGGACTGAGCTCAATGCCTATCGGGAGCACAGGCAAAATTAATGTAGCTATAGGATTACTCAGGTGGCCACTGAATCCTGTGGGAAAAGTTGCTGTGTACTGGTTCCAATCTTGGCGAGAGGGGAATCAGTTGAGAACTTCAAACTGTGGAATGTCTTCCCCAACGGTGCAGTCGACTCTTCGGTTTGATGTGAACCAGGGGAACTTGTCCGTCTGACCGGGGAGGAAAGAAACCTTGTGCCTGGAAAGTCTCACAGTGGACAACCTTGTGCCCGTATATTCCAAAAAGCAGAATTTGGCCAATCAGAACTGCGCAGACAACTTTTGAACTCTGCGGTTGTTTGTCTAAAAGTTAGGTAATTGTGGGCAATCAATGCTGTCTACCTACTCCACACTCCCTTGAACACGGCGTTGCTGCTTGAGCTGCAGCCAATGTTCCAGGTGTTAGTGGAAGTCAACTTCCTTAGTCTCTTCCCAAGGCTCAGTGTAAAGTACTTGGACTGCACCAGCCTTGGATTCAACATCAGTTCGGGCTGCTCTGTTGAAAGGGACGTTGGACCTGTTTTCCTGCAGGTGCAGCTCCCTAGCAATAGACTGGAGCTGTCATAAATGGGTGAGATCCTATTCCCGCTGGTTGCTCACATCACCAACAAGAGCAGGTCTCCAGCTGATGTTTCAAAACGAAAAAGGAAAAGGAAAAAAAAAAAAAGGATGGGCTCGGTGCCTAGGTGTGCCAACAGCCACACCAGGCCACCTCTTAGTCAAAACAATAACGTCGCGTCACATGTTCAAAAAATTCATCCCAGTTACTGCCAAATGCGCCAAGTCGCAGGCGTAGTACACATTTCTCTGGCCTTGGGAGGGGGCAACCATCGACGGAGTGCACTGAACAAGGGCTCAAAGCTCACAAGGCTTGACAGCAAGTCCTCTAGGAGCTGTATGGGTTTATAGGGAAGGGTGCGAGGGAGTTGCTGCTTGTGCCATAGTAGGAAGTCGAATCCTGTCACCCTCTCAACAGCCAGTGGTGCAAAACAGTGCATACCGAAACAAGTTGTATCATGGGCTGGATTACAAAATCAAACCACGAGTACTTCTGGGCCGCTTTGTCCCGAGGCTGGAAACGCCCTGCATGCCAAAAAGAAAGATTCAGTGCGGGCCTCTTATTTTCACCGATGCCACCAGCCATTTTCTCTGCTAGCCAACCCTCGAAAGTTGTGGCGTGCATGCAGCCGCACCGGAGAAAATTGTCCGGGGGGAAACGTTGGGTGTTCGAACAGCATTGTGTCACAGCCAGTTAACTCCTGTACTAGCCCTGTTGCCATGTCCTAGCAATCTCATGCACCTGATGAAACAATGTGCAGAACACAGAGCACGGGTAATCGAAAAGGAATAGACAGGCCGGCTACATGAGATGTCATACGAGCCATATTGTCAAATACGCAGCTAACTACAAAAATTGAAAACAGAGCTGCAACGAAGCACAGTCAAAAGAATATCCTTGTTATGTTAATGTCAATTGAGTTGACGTTACTTGCTGTCAATTTGAACGA